CACGAGCACATTCGGAAAAATACTTTCCGTTGAATGCTTCAACGAAAGTATTCCAGTTGACAGCAGCATTTTCTGGGAACACGATTTCCTTGGTCGCTTTCCACCAATAGCTGGCATTACCTTGCAGTTGATAGGCTGCTAAGGTAACTTTCTCTTCCTCAGAGCATCTCAAAAGCTCAAATGCCTTCTGGAGTTCATCGATCCAGGATTCCGCTTCTTCGGGATCTCCAGTTCCGATAAACTTCGGGGGTTAGAGCTTCAGGAATTGCTCGACCAATCCGTGCATCGTACGGCCACCATTTCCATTTCCATTTCCATTTGCTACCACATTCTTAGCATTAGGCATTCGTTGTTGGGCCTGCTGTCCCAACAGTTCTCCTACGGTCGCCAGAGCCTGCAGAATTTCGTCTATTCGGGGGTCTTGATTTGACTTCCCCTTCGAGGTCGAGGTCGCAGTCGGGTTCCGAGCACTCATATTGGTATTCTAAGGGGTCTTTCTACAACACAAGAATAGGTCAGTGGTCACAAACAAATATTAGCACACAACCTATTCAACCACAATCAATCATTCACATGCGCAGGGGTGTTTCCTAGCTAACTACCCCAACTTCAGCGCACCTTATCACTCCAGGTCTTTATTTTCCGCTTGGATTTCAAAATCATTCTCCCCCATTCAGTGCATAGTTTGGTTTCTTCCTCTCTTACCCATCATCCTAGAAGCCTGCCAGGAGCCGCACCTTGCTCAGGTCTTCAACCCCGGCGACCACTCTTGCTAGAAGCTGCACCTTGGTCAGGCCTCATGCCCCGGCGTCCACTTCATAGCCAAGAGCCGCTCTTTGATCAGGTTCTACCTCGGCGACCACTCCCCGCCCTCATCGGATTGGGTCCTTTCAGGATTCCACAGCCTCTTCTTGGCTCAACACCGAACTTGCACTTACTGGAGGGGAACCTGCTCTGATACCAAATTAAACTGTAATGCCCCAACTTCGGGGTCATTAACGTGACGTCCCGTTCATTATTATCTTTCGTTACACACAAGCGGAAGCATTTCTCGGGACAATCACATTTAATACACACATCGGAAATAAGACAAGAAGCATCATGAGCAAACCTTACGTTTATAATTCATGCGAACATGTTTTACAAGCCCTTCGGACCATGGCAAACAACACATATTTCATCGCCGACTATGAATAGCAAATCTTGACTTGGGTTAACCTATACCCACTACGGCTTCTCGCTCCTCGCTTCTTCACCTTCACCCCGGTCCCGTCTGCCTGGCCATCTCACATCCCACCCGTGGCTTTATCCCGGAGCCGGCCCGCCGCACCACCAAAGCACCGTTGAACCTACGCATGGATGAGGCACCAAGTCCGTTAGGCCCTCATCGAATCATCACGAGAATCGTGATTCGACGGTAGGTGCGGTCTTTTCTGACATCTATCACGGTGAGCACTTCGGCTCTCTGCTCCACGGGATTGCCAACGCGGGCTAGGAGAGATGCCATCCTACGGACCTGAAAAAAATGGGAAACAATGGGGGATGAGTCGGGGAAGACTCAGCAAGTAAAATTTTACTAACAGGCGAGGACATATCAATCGTCATTACACGAAACATTCTTACCGTACCGGCCTCCGTGGCCGATCAAACAATGACGGGCATAGCAAGCATAAAACAAGGATTCCAGGCATGGCTAAATCATGGTTTACCTCATGTGTCACGCCTCAGTTTCTAATTCGTGTTATATAACATGTAAAAACATGAAACAAGGCAAACTTGTTATAGAGAACACAACATCGGAACACCAAGAATCGAGAATAGGGAAAGCTCGTGATACAACGTATTTCAACGTCATTTCCCGGTAGTAAAATCTCACTTACATAATAAAACAGGAACTAAAGGGTAGAGAATGGGCGGGAAAAGTAACGGCCTCGGGTCTCGGACAACTCACGGTGTCGGCTTTTCTCTTCTCTCCCTCGGCTTTCTTTCTCTCTCGATTTTCTCTCTCTTCCTCACGGTTCTCTCTCTCTCTCTCAGCCGGTTGTGTCTTGCGAAAAGGTGTGCCAATTTGTCCCTAATGGCTTCTATTTATAGAGGAGCAAGGCTTGAGTTGATAAAGTAAGCGCACGTGTCATCGGGGAGGTGAGGTAAGTGCGCGTGTCACTTGGGAGATGAGGTAAGCGCGCGTGTTATCCAAGCATTGATAGCCTAAGCCAAAAATCATGATGAAGATGGCTAATTATGTCTTCCTCTCTCTCTTCTCACCCATTGGCCGTGGGTCTCTCTCTCTCCCCTCAAGCTGGCCATGACTCCTCTCTCTCTCCCTTGGTCAATACTTGATGACCAAGGCTTCATAATGGCTTCATAAAGGCTTGTGGAAAAGAAGGCCAAGCAATAAATGAGAGTAATGATGAAGATGATAAGGTTTGACTTAGTCAAACTTTCTAGGGTTTTCTCCAATCAAAGTATAAAATATCTCATTTCAAAGCTCAGAACTTGTATTTTAAATCACCAGAAGACATCAAGTCCAAATTCCAACGTTCTCGTATAGAAAATGCTGAATCTTTGAAATCTGACAAAACCGGACAGTTTTGCACTGTTCACGAAATTGGACTTAAAAACATAGTAAATGGACTTCAAAAATTCTCAAATTTGAATATGTCATAAAAAAGACCTTAAAAAATATGTTTCATGCAGAACACGAATTCTGAATCTTTCTGTAAACACCATTTTTAGTAGTTCAAAGACAGACTAAAAACAGTTCACTGGAACCGAATTCTTGTTTCCCAAAGTAAGCTTTGTCCATAATCCAAATCATCTCGAAAAATTCCCAAATTTATATGAATTATAGAAAAGGAAGTTCTCAACAAATTTTGTGAAGGAAACTTTTCCAAAATCGGCCCAGAAAATCGTGTATAAAATAAATACGGTGTGAACATCACCGAAATACCCATTCTGGGCAGTTTCACACGGTCCGAAAATCAGGCTATCGTATCACTCATATCAACTCCAAAAATTCTGAAATTAAAGTATGTAAAACTTCAAGATGTTTGGAATAACTTTCAAGAAGGAAGTATTCGGAAATTCGGATTACAAAAGTCTCCCCAAAAATAACAAATTGAAGGGATACAAAGGATCCGAAACTGGGTTTTTCAAAACAAGAGAAAACAATTTAGTTCTGATTGGAAAACCATCAAACTTAAACCATAGCCATTTCCCAAGGACTAAAATTGAGGATGTGACAGATGTCACTCTAATCGATGCACACGATCGGGAAGTCATTCCACAGTCGATCCCTGGGCCGAATCATGAACAATCTCTCGATTGAACCATGACCAACCCTCAGTACACACATTCCGACCATACCGTCCATCCCATTACCAACCCTCGGGTCTTATCACTCACGCAATTCATTACCATTTACCCTTGGCCTTCTTGGTCCCGAATTTGGGGATGTGACAATTCTCCCCCTCTAATAAAATTTGGTCCTCGAAATTTAAACGCGTACCTGGTTCCTCAAATAAATGCGGGTACTGATGTTTCATGAGTTCCTCACTCTCTCAGATGGCTTCTTCTACACTATGATGACGCTATAGGACCTTTACTAAGGGAATGGCCTTATTTCTCAACACCTGCTCCTTATGATCCACGATTCGCACCGGCTCCATAACATGGGACACTCTGCTGTCTAATTCGACCTCGTCGAAATTCGGCACATGTGCCAGATCGGGCTCATACTTTCTCAACATCAATACATGGAACACAACATGTATCTGATCAAGTTTCGGTAGCAGCGCCAACCAATAGGCCAAATTTCCTATTCTTTCTAGAATTTAAAAAGTTCCTACGTACCTGGGATTTAACTTACCTTTCCTTCTGAAGCGTGACACACCCCTCATAGGTGACACCTTCAGAAAGACATGGTCGCCTACCTGAAACGTAAGCGGTTTCTGGCGCTTGTCAGCCTGACTCTTTTACCGACTTGTGCCGTCCTAAGTCTTTCTCTATTTATCTGGACAGCATCTATGGTGAGTTGGACTAGCTCTGGACCCGTGACCTTCTTTTCCCTGACCTCGTTCCAACATACTGAAGTTCTGCAAGCTCGACTGTATAATGCCTCAAATGATGCCATCTTGATGCTTTGCCGATAACCGTTATTACAGGTGGATTCTACCTTCCTTTCTGAAGGTAGCCCTGGTAGCTTTTAGGAAAACACCGAAAAATTTCTTTATGGAAATGTCTTCTAACTTTGGCTTCTCCCTGCTTCCGCTGCGCCACTCTGATTTATCTTTTACCATCCTTAAATATTTCTAATGCTTTCTTGGATCTTTCGGGTACATTGAAATGTCGTACATAAATACTATGATCAAATAGTACAAGTACAGTTCCAGTCACCCGATTTATCAAGTCTACGTAATAACATTCTTGGAGTTTTCCGCTTCCTCTTAAATAATTGCATAAATCCTTCCTTGAGCTGGAGGACGATTATCATGCGGTGGAACTCCGTTTTGTTGCGTCACTTGTGGTTGCTGTGATTGCTTCACTTGTTGTCGTTGCGTGTAGTCCTTTATGCGGTGGCCTTGTTGACTACAGCCGAAACATGCTCCCGTTCGTACTGGGCACGGAGCATTTCCATGATGCCTTCCGCAAGTATGGTAAGCATCGCTTGTAGTGGGGATCGGCTTTTGATTTTTTATCTTCTTGTTGGGAGTGGAGAAACGTTTTTCTCCCGACATCGGTCTCTTGTCATGACGCTGGTTGGATTGAGAAGCTGGATGATAAAGCTTTCCTTGATTAGTCGTAGTGGCAGCTCATTCCAGGGACTCTTTCTCTACCAGCTGGGCTCGTTTGTACAGCTCGTTGTAATCCTTGAGGTTCAGCGGCACCAATTGACTCCGAATGTCTGGGTTCAAACCATCTCAGAATCTTTTTGCCCTTTCCACTGGATCTTCAATAAGTCTAGGGGCATACCTTGACAAGTGAGCGAACCTTGCTTCGTACTAGTCCACCGTTATGTTGTTCTGCTGAAGTTGCAAGAATTCCTTCATCTTTCGATCACGAGTACATTCGGAAAAATACTTTCCATTGAATGCTTTGACGAAAGCATTCCAGTTAACTGCTGCATTTTCAGGAAACATGATTTCTTTGGTTGCTTTCCACCAATGATTGGTGTTACCCTGCAGTTGGTATGTCGCCAAATTCACTTTCTCTTCCTCATAACATCTCGAAAGCTCAAATGTCTTCTGGAGTTCATCGATCCAGGATTTCGCTTCTTCGGGATCTCCTATTCCAGCAAATTTCGGGGGTCGCAGCTTCAAGAACTGCTCGACTAACCCGTGCATCGTACGGTCACCATTTCCATTCCCATTTCCAATTGATGCCGCGTTTTCAGCATTAGGCCGCCGTTGTTGAGCCTGCTGTCCCAACAGTTTTCCCACGATCGCTAAAGCCTGCAGAATTCCATCTATTCGGGGGTCTTGATTTGACTTACCCTTTGAGGTCGAGGTCGCAGCCAGGTCCAGAGCATTCATATTGGTATTCTAAGGGATCTTTCTACAACACAAGAATAGGTCAGTGGTTACAAACAAATATTAGCACTCAACCTATTCAACCACAGCCAATCAATCATTCACATGCGCAGGGGTGTTTCCTAGCTAACTACCCCAACTTCAGCGCACCTTATCACTCCAAGTCTTTATTTCCGCTTAGATTTCATAATCGTTCTCCCCCATTCAATGCATAGTTCAGTTTGTTCCTCTCTTACCCATCATCCTAGAAGCCTACCGGGAGTCGCTTAATGATCAGGCCTTGGCCCCGGCGCCACTTCTATTTAGAAGCCGCTCAATGATCAGGCCTCGATTGCCCCGGCGCCACTCCCCGCCCTCATCGGATCAGGTCCCTTCAGGATTCCATAGCCTCTTCTTGGCTTAACACCGAACTTGCAACTTACTGGAAGGGAACCTGCTCTGATATCAAATTAGTATGTAACGCCCCCACCTCGGGGTCATTAACGTGACGTCCCGTTCGTTGTTATCTTTTCATTACGAACAAGCGGAAGCATAAATTCGGAACAATCACATTCAGAATAAATAGCGGAATTACGACAAGTAGCATCATGAGCAAACCGTATGTTTACAGTACATGCAAACATATTTTAACAAGCCCTTCTTTCGGGCCATGGCAAACATCACACATATTCTACAAGCCTATTCCAAAGGCTCATCCGAATGTAGGCCGACTATAGACAATCAAAACTTCGGCTTGGGTCATCCTATACCCACTACGGCTTCTTACTCATCGCTCATTTACCCCCACCCTGGTCCCGTCCGCCTGGCCGTCTCACACCCCTCCCGCGACCTGTCCCGAAGCCGGCCTGCCCGCGCCATAAAAAGGTCCATTGAACCCACGTAGGGGTCCAATCCATTCTTCGTCGGCGTAGCGATACCATGCTACGTACGAGTGAGGCACCAAGTCTATTAGGCCCTCATCGACCATCACATACGTCATGATCCGGCGATAGGCTCGACCTTCTCGGGCATCAATCACGGTGAGCACTTCGGCTCTCATTTCCACGGGATTGCCGAACCGGGTCAGGGGAGACGCCATTCTACGGACCTGAAAAGGAAACAACGGGGGATGAGTCAGGGAGACTCAATAAGTAAACCTACTAATATCAAGCGAGGATGAGGGGATCGCCGTTAACAGAAGTCGGCTCTAACCGCACCCCCATCAATGGTAGATCAATAGCAAAGTTCATACAAGAGAACATCACGCATGGCTATAACATGTTCACTTTACCAGCCAAATCTCGGTTCTATCTCAAGACAAACATCAAACATGAAACATGGTCAAATCAAGGGAATGAACCAACTACGACCAACCAAACGACCGAGAAATGGTCCAAGCAAACCGTGTCACAACGCATCACAACTTCCTTTCCCGATATTAGGAAGTTTACTTACTTAACGGAATAAAACAAGAACTAGAGAAAACGGGTGGCGTGTGATGGACACGAAAGCCTCAGCGGATCTCGGACGGTTCTTGGCGTGTTGCTTGAGCACGTGGAAGGTGGGATCTTGATCGGTTCTTGGGCGTGAGCTTTCTTGTTTGGCTGAACAAAGGAAGGGAAGATTCGGTGGGGTCTCTCTTTCTTGGGCGTGAAATGAGAAGAAGATGGTGATGGCGTGAGAATGGAGAGAGAGGCGTGAGGTATGTGAGGCGTGAGAGGGCTTCTCAACAAATGAAGTCTTCATCTATTTATGGAAGCCAAAGCAAATGAAGAGACAAAATGTTATTATGAAGGGGGGGTTCCTAAAGTCCAAGTTCATTTAATGTATGCCATCATGACAAGTTCGCAAAAGTCTAAGGCTATTAAATGTTTGTCATCATAATAGGGCTTCAAAGTCAAGATTCATGATGGCTAGCCTTAAAGTTCATTAATGGACTATAGCCAAAGGAGCATGATAGAGAGATCAAAATGAATCCAAGCCATTAATGGTTTCTCTCTTCCTTTCCCTCTCTCTCTCGGCTCACTCTCGGTTTTCCTCTTGCCTTGGCCGACTCTCTTTTATTTCTCACATATAATTGGTGACCAAGGCTCATTAAGACTAGGGACAACTCAGCTTATTTTCATTAAAGGAAGGGGGGACACTTAAGCATGCACCAATAATAGCCCATGTCCCTAATAATGGAAGCTTGAAGGAGAAGCTTTGACCATGTCCAAGCCTTATCTTCTAGCCTCTTCTAAGTTGTTGGTTTCTTGCACAACAAACTTGGTTCGCACGAAATGGCCTTACCGACGCTTAATTCATAACCCCGCATCATAACATCAAACTTGTTTTCCGAGGGTTTTTCCACGACAGACACACCTAATAATCCCATTCAATCAGAGGTTCGGTGCGGGAAAACCTCTAAATATGCCTCAATCAACCCAACAAGAGTTTGAATCAAACTAGAAAATTTTGGGCTAACCGGGCTGCTGGGTGCATGGCCGAATCTGAACGGGCGCATGGCTTGGCACGCTACCGGGCCACACGGGCACACGGCCGGGCACATGGCTGAGCCCATGGGCACTGCGCCAAGCCACACGAGCATCGTGCCGAGCCACACGAGCGTCGTGCCGAGCCACACGAGCAATACGCCGGGCACGATGTCGGGCCGCACGAGCAAGGGGGCCGGTCCATGGGCTTAACACATGCCTTGGCTTATGAATGGGCACAATGCATGGCTCATGGCCAAGTTCTAGGGCATTGAACTAGGTCAGAGCCGGATCTGACGGGCACATTACTTAGCACAAGGGTCAGGCACAATGACTGGCACATGACCGGGCATGTAGCCGGTTCGTGGCCTATCTAACGGGTACAATGGTCGGTCATGTCCGGGCACACGGCCTGGCCGGCGCGGCTAGCACAATGGCCGGTCCGCGGCCAAGTCACTAGGCTTGTGACCCGGCACATGGCTCATCCATGGCCTACCCCACTCAACGCGACGATCCGTGGCCCATTCGCGATCGGTTCACATTCGAGTATCAATGACTCATGGTCGACCCTTGGTTGTCATGTAGCCTCATGAAATCCAGTATCACGGGATTAATCCATGGTCATCCGTAACCTAAGCATGGCCGTACGGTATCTCCGGCAACTGACACATGTCGACACGGCATCGATCTATGGTCGTCCCGGACCGTTCCACTAACGGCCCTTATGGTCAAAGGGTCATTCCATAGTCATGTCACTCTAATCGATGCGCACGATCAGGGAGTCATTCCACTGTCGATCCCTAGGCCAAATCATGAACAATCTCCCGATTGAATCTTGACCAACCCTCAGTACACACATTCCGGCCAGACCGTCCATCCCATTACCAACCCTCGGGTCGTATCACTAGCCCAATTCATTACCATTTACCCTTGGCCTTCTTGGTCCCGAATTTGGGGATGTGACACTTGAACTCTAATTGACTCAACTAAGAAAAAACAAATGACAATTTCACAACAATTGATCAAAGATCTTGCCTTGAAGTTCATGATCTAATCCAAATGTTTTTCTTTGAACATATCTGAGAAGTTCTTAATGATTGAGAGAGAAAAACTTATCTGTTTGCAAGCGTTTTATTGTTGATTATCTCCAAAGTATGAGCTGATGATGGTAATGATGATGAATGGAATTGTGATCTCATGGTTTAAGGATTTGTCCAAAAACCATGAGCACCTAGGGTTTCTCACTCAAGGATTTTGGTAATTTGCCTTGTGCCTCATCGCCAGAAGGACTTAGTGATTGGCCTAGTGGATCATCGCCAGTAGGACTTAAAAAGTTATCTAGTGGCTCATCGCTAGTAGGACTTGATGATTTGCCTAGTGGCTCCTCGCTAGTAGGGCTTGATGATTTGCCCAGTGGCTCATCGCCAGTACGACTTAAAAAGTTACCTAATGGTTCCTCGTCAGTAGGACTTGGAAATTTGCCTAGTGGCTTCTTGCTAGTAGGACTTAGAAATTTTTCTAGTGGTTCCTCACCAATAGGACTTACAAATTTGCCTAGTAGCTCTTCGCCAGTAGGACTTGCGAATTTGCCTAATGGCTCCTTGCCAGTAGGACTTGGAAATTTGCCTAGTGACTCATCGCCAGTAAGACTTAGAAATTTACTTAGTGGCTCCTCACCAGTAGGACTTATAAATTTGCCTAGTGACTCTTCGCCAGTAGGACTTAGAAATTTGCCTAGTGGCTCCTCGACAGTAGGACTTGAAAATTTACCTAGTGGCTTATAACCAGTAGGACTTAGAAATTTGCCTAGTGGCTCTCACTAGTAGAACTTGAAAATTTGTCTAGTGGCTCCTCATCAGTAGAACTTAGAAATTTGCCTAATGGTTCCTCACCAGTAGGACTTACAAATTTGCCTAGTGGCTTCTTACCAGTAAGACTTGAAAATTTGCCTAATGGCTCCTCGCTAGTAGGACTTGGAGATTTACCTAATGACTCCTCGCCAGTAGGACTTGATGATTTGCCTAGTGGCTCCTCGCCAGTAAGACTTGGAAATTTGCCTAGTGGCTCCTCACCACAAGGCTTGTGTAACGGTCTTCTGTGGTTACGGACCGCGATCACTTGCGGAGGGTCAATTCTCCGAGGCCACAAATCTTCATACACTTTGAAAAGACTTAATCAATGATTTCTTGAGGCTCCTCACCTGAGGATTTGGTAGTTTTTAGTTGACATCAAACTTTTGGAAAACTCGGTTTAAAGTTGACCAGAAATTGTTTGAAACGTGATTTCTACTTTACCACAAACATTTTGAAAACTTGTTTTAGAAACATGTCTTCTTTGTACCAATGCATTCAGGCAATCAAATTTCCTTTCTATGAAAGTATTTGAGCAAATTGCTTGCAATTTTCCAAGAAATATTTGGAACAATCATTTGGAAGACCTTCATTAGAAAGGATTTGTCTCAATCTATGAACTTGATCTTTTTTTTTTTTGCTAACTGAAATGGGAATTATTTTGAATTCCTCAATTCATCTCTCCTAACCGACCCTCAGGTAT